AATGGCAGTTTCCATCAGGGGATGTTCTTGTTGCTGCTATTTCTGGTTCCAAAGGTAGATCTTCTGGCACCAGACATTGCCACTTTGTCTGTCGGCAAACCAACGTGGCCACGGAGCGGCAAAGTGCGAAAAAACTGCTTCTCATCAGCATATTTTTTTTCCAAAGCCCTCGGGAATGCTAAAACCTCATCCTCGGTCACAGTTGTACGTGCAGTCAGTATTTGAAATAAATCTGATCTGCATTGCTACGGAATGTTGTGAGCCCATAACACGCGTTGTTAGCAAAAGGGACATTTCATTTCACACTATACAATGTAACATTTGGAAAATCCAAGATGGCGGATGTTGACGGCAGGTGTATTTTGCAGGGCGCAGGTTGCAGGTTGCAGGTTGAAATTTAATNAATGGCAGTTTCCATCAGGGGATGTTCTTGTTGCTGCTATTTCTGGTTCCAAAGGTAGATCTTCTGGCACTAGACATTGCCACTTTTTCTGTCGGCAAACCAACGTGGCCACAGAGTGGCAAAGTGTGAAAAAACTGCTTCTCATCGGCATATTTTTTTTCCAAAGCCCGTGGGAATTCTGAAACCTCATCCTCGGTCACAGTGATACGTACAGTCAGTATTTGAAATAAATCCGATCTGCGTTGCTACGGAATGTTGTGAGCCCACAATATGCGTTGTTAGCAAATGGGACATTTCATTTCACACTATACAATGCAACATTTGGAAAATCCAAGATGGCGGATGTTGACGGCAGGTGTATTTTGCAGGGCGCAGGTTGTAGGTTGCAGGTTGAAATTTAATTATCACTGGAAAACCGCTGGCACTTAAAAGAAACGTATAGGTGGTAGACTTACCGTGACTGTTACATTTACTGTTTACAATTGCTCAGAAAGGTGGCTTCCACCTTAGGGCCAAGATGGCCGCAGCGATGGGAGGAGAGTATATTCCTATGATTTTAAGCCTGCAATAAATCATTGTTTTTGAAGAAACATCTGAAATATTATCTGAAATATCTGCTGAATTTGGTTTCTTCCCTGTGAGTA